GAGACTGAGAGTGTTAGAAGAAGAGGGAGCAGGTGAAGGCCTCATCTCGGAAACCAGGTAAAGAAATAGAAAATGAGCACATGCTTAAACATGTAATTGATATTTAATAGTTGGTTGCTTGGAAATGTAAAATGAATAAAGGCATTTCATTGGTATAGCCTATTCCTTTTAAAATAACGTGAAGCATACTTATTTTTTCCAGAAGTATACACCCTTTAATATATGAGTATAGATTTAGTCTAGCAAAGTAACAACAACTCAGCTCACAATGTAAACAGTATCACTGTTGTTTAGTAGAACTTCTCTTTCTTCTCTCCAGGGATAAATGAATTCTCTCAGATTTCTGCTCATCAGTCAAGATTTTACATTCAATTGAGTGTTCATTCTGAGTTTAAAATGGTTCTGTGACTGAATGCTTAGAAAGTTGTGCTTTGGTAAATTGAAAATAATTTTTCTAAAGTGATGGGTTAATTTGAAATCTATATTTCTTTTTTCTTGTTTTGATTTTTGCAGCCTAAATTGTAAAACATATTCCTCTAATCATGTTGCTCCACAGATGAACTGTCCTGCCTCTCCCAGGATACTGGGGGCTTCTAAAACAATTTTTTTTTTTTTTTAAGTTTGTTTATCAAGAGAGTGAGACGTGCCCCCAACAGGGTCTTCCAGCAGGCTTGCAGGCCAGGAACTGAACCCGTGATCTCCCGTATAGTCCAGCTTCACTTGAGTAGCATGTTACCACTACACCACAGAGCCAGACCTAGCTCCAGTCTTTACGAAGTGGGGCAGATGCTGGCTCTCAGTAGGGTTCAGTGGATGTTTACTGAATGAATGGATGAAGTGCTGTTTTCCCTCCTAAAATATTAATCCACATCTCGAAGGTGTCCATATTGAACAAAATGAAAAAGAAACAAACCTCCTGAGAAAATGGAGATTGCAACTCCTGCTCACCCTTTCTCTTTTCCATGGGTACGATACTCTACCCGGTGTATTACTCTCTGAAACCCATTGTAACAGCTGACTCTGTGAAAGCTTCTCAGAGAAAATCTTTTCAAAGGATAAGCAACAGAATGTGGCCTTCAAATTCTCAAAGATGTGCATTTTTCAGATTATTCAACATCTGGATTTAGTTTATTCTATCAACAAATATTGACTGAGTGCCTACTATATGCTAGGCACTGAGAAAATGCAGTGAATAAAACATTAGAAACATCCGTTGTCATGGAGCGTACATTCCAGCTGGAGGAGACAGGCAATAATAAACAAGGATATAATGTGTGCTGGTGGCGATAAATGCTAAGAACAAAAATAAAGTGGGGGTTTAGGATGGATGGCGGTGCAGCAGTAAAACATGATGCTCTGCAGGGCTGACCCACATGGGAAGGTTCCAGGTTTGTGTCCAGAGATCTCTGTGAATATACTGGTACCCTGAGCATGTGTGTGCCCTTGACTGGGACTGGCTGAGGCTGGGAGTGGATTGCTACATAGGGACTCTGTGGGGGGTGCTGTCTCTCTGTCTCTCTCTCTCACTCAAGGAGGAAATTAATCTTCAGGGGAAAAAAGCTAGAGGAAGGAGTGGAGAATAATGGGGGGAGGGAGGCCGTTTTCTACACAGCATAGTTAGGGAAAGACAAGCAAACTGAGACCAAAAGGAGGAAAGAAATGGTTGGGCAGAGACTACAGCCGTGGTGCTTAGTTGCAGTGCCCTTAGCCAACTCCGGCCAACAGTAGGTGGGATGCCAGGAACTTGAGCTTTGTGAATGTGAAGATAGGCCCAGCCAAGAAACTTGCAGCCCTGTAAACATTGTGATTCAAATGAATATTAAAAATCAACTATCCAGTTTTAACTGCAAGACATTTTTTGCAGGTAACTTTTTTTTTTTTTTTGAGAGGTTTTTGCTATAAGGGGCATGCGCTCACCAGAAAGAGACAGAGAGCCAGAAAGCAAGAAATCATCCCCCAGGGAGGATGGCCATGCCGCAATCCCTTCTCCTCCATTCTCCTCTCAGGATCTTGGGCACGCACACACACATGCCCGGCGTGAGTTTAAGCCACCATCTGGGAATCGAACTGCGGTCAGCTACATGGGAGTCCAGCGACATAGCCATTATGCCAACTGCTGAGCCCATGAAGGTAACTTTTTTTTTTAAGAATTATTTAATTTTATTCATTGTTGTTATTATTTTTAATTTGACCAGAGAGACACACAGAGAGAGAAAGAAAGCGAGAAAGCAAGCTGCCAGGTCCAGGACTTAAACCACGGTCAGCAATGTGAGAGTCCAATGCCCCAATTACCACACCACTTGCCAACCCCACAGATAACTTTTTAAAAATAATTATTTTATTTTGATTCATTTATTATTATTCTTTAATTTGACGAAAAAGAGAGAGAGAGAAAGCAAACTGCCAGGTCAGAGACTTCAACCATGGTCGGCCATGTGGGAGTGTCCACCACTTTAACCACCACGCCACTCACCGGCCCCCGCACAGGTAACTTTTAAGACTTTTAATTCAAAAATCCAGGATGGCAACCAGTTCTTAGAAATGACTAAAATGACCTACTAGTATTCCTTTTTTTAATTTTCTTTTTCTTAATGGAGACTTTTGCTCTCCTACTGAGACCATGTATTATATAATATCTAGTTTCACATAAAAATAAATTTCTGCTGCTAAGTTTGAAAATTGCCTGAAAATAGCAATTAATATTGGAAAAGCTGCCAGAACCTTAAGTGTAGTGGCGTAGTTGGCGTAGCTATAATTACGTGCCTGAGTGTGTACATGTCTGTGTAAACACAGTATGAAAACACACTTGATGTCCAGGACAGTGTATCAGAGTATTTTTCTTCTAAGTAAGTGAGAGAGAAAGACTTTTTATAGCATGGTTAGGTGGTATGGATTTTTCTAGCTTAACATCTATCTCTCTTTTGTTTTTCAAATTATTTTCACAGTCAGCATCTCATTTGATTCTAACTCGCTGGGGTGAAAAAGGCAGGACATACTTTGTTCTGCCCATTTGATGGATGAGAAAATTCTGTGGATTACCTAAAATTGCTTAAAATTCTTATCTATAAAATGAAGAGACTGGACTATGAAATCACTGAGGTCCTTTCTATTGTGTCATCAGAAAAGTCATGACTTCTGGGACCAGCAGATGGCATAATGGCTACGTCTCTGGACTCCCATGTAGTCGACCGCAGTTCAAGTCCTGGATCCTGGTGGCATAAACTCATGCCAGGCACATGTGCATGTGTGCCCAAGATCTTGAGAGGAGAACAGAAAAGAAGGGATTGTGACATGGCCATCCCATCTGAGGGGTGATTTCTTGCTTTCTGTCTCTCTGTTTCTGCCTGTCTGGCTAGCGCTCCTCCCGGGTGGGTTGGCGCAGGCCCCCTTGAGAAAAAAAAAAAAAAAAAAAAAAAAAAAAAAAAAATGTCATGACTTCTTTTCTGTTTTTCTGTGCAAAAATGTGTCATGACTTATATATATATATATATTAATTATTACCCTGAGGTGACACAGCTAGTGGAGACCACTGTTAAGTCCAATATCATTTCTACCGAAATTCGTTCTTATATTCTTCAAACCCTTCACTGCATGTTTAATTATCTGTAAAACGTGGTATCTCTGAGTTCAAGATGGTTGAGAAAATTATTGACAGAATTAAAGGGTTGGTTGTGAAGCACCGAATATAGTGGTAGCTATCATTATTACTGTCATAACTATTACTAATAAGGAAGCAATGTAGTATAGTGGGAAAAGATTTGGTGTTGGAGTTAGTTACATGAGCTTCTAATCATTTACCAATTACCATCACCTTGGCCTATCATTCAACCTTCCTGAGCATCCTATAGAATGAAGCTGATAATACCTACAGTGGAGGGTGGTTTGAAGACTAAAGGATGTCTAGCCCAGTGTCTCAGATACTAGATTCTCAATAAATGGCTGGTAGCTGTGATGAACTAACTGGGTTGTATTTCATGCCATTCTCAAAACCTAAAGTGATTTTTACAAAGGTAAAGTATAACTTTGAAATTAACAGATGTATACAGCCATCTTTGTAAAAAAAAAAATATATATATATATGCATATATATGTATATGTATATAAACCTGTGTGTGTGTGTGTGTGTGTGTGTGTGTGTGTGTGTGTGTAGGATTCTGAAGTTTGGCCTTTCTATAAACATCTGAGAGTAGGAGGAGAAATCAGCACATACCCAGTAGTCAGTAAGTGGTCATTATGGATTTCATGTCCAATGGCCTTCTGAAATCTGGTATCATTTTATTCAGGTCCTCTTGTTCTCCCCATTATAATAATCTCATAAGATTATGCAATTTATTTAGAAAGGTCTCTTTATCCTCATTATACCACTTTCTTTGAAAAACAGTTATTTGAGTACTGTGAGGAGCTACTTTGATATAGTGGGGACCATTATGAGGGGATCAGTGAACTTGGAAGCCAAGATTCTGGAGCCTTGTCTCTGATGGCGTGGTCAAGAAAGGCTGGTGGTAGGACTGAAATGTGAAAACAATAGGAATTGTGGTTATTTGTCTCTGTGAAGGTATTCATCCTCAATTTTGGGGCACAATAAAAGGGACACAATAAAATGTATAGGTATCTGGAGTTGTGATGTGGACGTGTGGGCAGATGCTATGGTGCCGTAAGGTGAGTGGACTACCCTGAACCGGTTACTATTAAATCTAGTCAATGGTTTAAACCAATGGGCTCAAGACTGGGTGTATTATTAAAAACACTAACTTTCATTTTGTTTATTTTATGCATTATTTGAAAACAATGAAACACATTTGAATGTGAATTTTTTTTCTTATTCAATGTGTATCTATTCTTGAAATTATTCTCACTGTGAATGACCACCCCGTGTGGATGCTTCGAGAACAACTGAGTTTTTCTACCTAGAGCTGTCCATTAAATTCTTTGACCAATGTCTGTTATGTTTGGTTGCCTTCCAGTTTGAAAATGTGTGAATTTCCTTTTTAATGTTCTAGGGGAAAGCAATGGTATTCGCCCCACGCCGAGGGAATACTTTAAACCAGTTTTGCAATCTAGCTGAAAAAGCTGGTTTCTCTATCCAAAGACATGAAAATTATGACGAACACATTTCAAACTTCCACTCCAAGGTTAGTTTTCTGCTTGTGTTAGATAACACTTTAATCCGCATTGCATTTTGAAGAGATCATGGTCTTTTTGGCAGGTAACCTAAATATTTGATTAAAGTACTCCTTAGGTGTGTTGCTTGTGAACAGCTATTTGTATCTGATTATTTTGTGTGGTAAAGCCATCTTTTATCTTTGCATGTCTAAAAGGATTTTTACAGAAGCCATTCCTGTTTACTTCTTTCTCTGAAACAAACTAATCTTTTCATTCATAATAGACTAATTTGTAGGATGCAAGGGGAGGTGGCACAGAATGAATGATAAACATGCATTTATATTTTAATGAAAAACCTTCGGCTTTTAAGTAGGTTAAATGCTTAGCTGCACTGAAATAAATAGAAGGTGCATGTCTAATTGTATCATGTTGGACTGTAAATCTTTATCTCTGCTTGCTTTATGACTGGGTCAGTTGGCAGTTTGAGACTGTTAAATCTCATACAGAATTTCACAGTTGTGGGGTTATATGTCAGATCGAGGCGCTACAAGATTTAGGTCAAAAGCACTTATCTGAGAGTGATTTCTAAGCCTGCTTACATAAAGCAATGTTATCAGCCTTTTTATTATTTATAGGTATAGAGCAATATAGGACAGTGAGAGGCAAGTGTTCCACTGGAAACTTTTTAGGATTCTCACATTTTCTAATACATGTCACAGGGACTATTGTAGCATGTAATACTGCTGCTATTTTGTACCTTACACAATCTTCCTTCGCTGAGCTAGTATGACCTTGGCAAGAGACTTTGCTTGTCATGATTTCACAAGTTGTGACTACAGAAAAGTAAAGGCTTGATCTTAAATTTCTCCTGGAACAATGTGAGTAGCATTGTTTATTACCAAGCACTATGACATAACGTAGGACTGTGTTGGCCTTTGGAGAAATATACACAAAATGGAGCGGATCTTCCAGGCGAGAGGACGGATGTTCTCACTTTTTGGACATCAGTTTCCTTCTTTGCGTCTCTAGGGCTCCATTTAGCCCCTGAGGAAAAAAACGGTGCTTTGTGAATTGAAAGAGTTAAAACGTCCTCTCACAGGCTGAACCCAGCCAGTTGTTTCCAATCAGAAAATAAGAACAGGATGGCGTGTTATTCAGATCTTACCTGTTTCTTTAGAATGTTGTTTTCCCCCTTTTCAGTCTCTCCCCAGAACAAAAGGAATGGCTCTGAGGGCTTTACCTGGTGGGGGAAGGGTCTCTCCTGCTCCCACCCATGGGCTCCTCCACCCAAAGATCTACCATAGCCTTCGCTCCAGGATGGGGCCACAGCTACAGGGATCAGCTCTGGGCTGCTTTGAATGTCATGTCGTTCACTTTCTCCCTAGAACGACAAACGCTTTTAGTTTGTCAGTGACAGCTCCGGAGAGTGTAGGTGTGGGTCAGATGTTCTGCATTGTGCCTCCTCCCTGTGAGACCTCCCTGTGAGTGTGTGGGGACGTACAAGGCATTTGAGCCCTTGGCGCCCACCTTTATTGTCTAGCCCCTCAGAGTGTTAGCACCTGGTGCACAGCAGCGTCCTCTTTTATTTCCAGCATTGTGCACTGTCCTGCAGGCATAGCACATGCTGTAAATCTGTAACGTGCCTCTTACCTTTACACTGGGGACCATACCCAGCTATAATAGTACTCCAGGGGTAATCACTGACTGACTGGCCCCCCAAAATACAATACATTTCCACAAATAAGCGGCCATAGCTTTTCTGCCTTCACAATTGACTTTAACATCGAATGTCACGCCTTGCTAACATTGGACTAAGGAATAGTTCTCTACCTTGTTGTTAGGGTGCCCTGAGCAAAAGGTATAAATGGAGCAGGTGATAAGTATTTACAATGATGAGAGCTATTTCAGCTGGTTTGGTGTTCAGTCTCCAGTGAAAGAATTCCTCTTGTCCCTTCTGGACCTGCTTCAGCTGGGGACCGATGTCTGGCCACAGCCATGCCTAATCACCCAACGTCAGCTAGCACGTGGGGATGTTCCCCTTTGCAAGAGAAGGATCTCCTCAGGAGGCCAGGCCGGACAGTGAGCCGCAGGGCCAAGCTGGAGGGAGTGGGAAGCGTCCCTGCTCCTCGCTCAGCCCAAGTGCTCTTCAGCGGGACTCAGGGTGGAGGCTGAAGACAGCACCCTTGTTCCCTCGGGGCCGCTTCCTGCCAGCCCACGGCGGGCTCCGGGAATGAGGGGCCAGCGCGGCCGCCGGGAACCTCCACCCTGGCGGCTTTTGTTGGCCCGGTGCTAATAGCCAGGCTTAAAAGTTTTCCATCTTGAGCGGCAATCAGCTTTCTTCCTCTCCATCTCTGGCCAAAGCCCCGTGGTCCCTGGGACGCGCCTGCTCCCCAATGGAGGAGCAGCGTTTTCCTTCAGGCTGCGTGTTATCCTCTTAGCCCTACTGTGTTGGAATAGAGCGTAACCAGCTGGAGGACTGTAAGACGCCTGATAATGCCGCTCTTTTCCGCTGTCCCGTCTTAATCTTGTTACACAAATGGTTGTGAAGAGATTCATGAATTTTAATTTTGCCCTCTGCATTAGTGCCTCACGTCACTCATACACAGCTGCCTTCTATGCCGAGTTTTTCACCCCTCCTCTTACAACAGGGGGAAAAATTAGTTACAATCTTGGCAGTAGTGCAAGGTAAAAAAAAAAAAATCTACAGATTTAGGCAACCACCCATGAAGCTGATTAACAGTCAGTGATCAGGAGGAACAGCTTTGCCTCTTAAACTTTTCACCTCTCATTGTTAACTGTGAAATTTTATTTCCGTTAAAAAGCAAGCCTGTAATCAAAACGGTGCCATTCTGCACTTTTCTGCCAGTGCTTTTGTTAAACTGTGCCCACACCATGCAGCCAGCATGCTCAGGAACCAGGCAGCCAAAGGTGTAATATGTTTTAAAAAATATTGCCTTTCTGTTCATCCAGGCAACGGAAAGAAAAAATAAAACACTTCCCTCTCCTCTCAGCCTCTTGGTCCCCTTCAGGCTGGAATCAAATTCATTGCCCCACAGCGTAGCTCAAAGCCTTTAGGATATTAAGGTAGCAAATTGCTTAACAAGGTAGAGAACGTGCCTTAGATATCACATCTGGCTTGAAATTACTTGATAAATACTCTCATTCATGCAGATATTCTTTGAAATGTAATTTTACATGTCACAAGGTTAGGTTTCGGTTTTTCTGTTTGTTTTTTGTTTAACTTTTGCAAAACCAAGTGTTTATTTTCTGTATTTTTGTACTTAGCCATGAAAATAGGCTTGGGCTAGGCTGTGAAGTCAGTCCATTGTGTTAAAAGCACAGCCATATTGCACTTCTGCTTATCTATTCAAAATGCCACATTACAAGTGGCTGGTGCTTATAATCTGTGTGGTGTGCTGTTGATAATTGTGGATACTGTAAAGGGTAAACAGTCTGAACTCCACTCCTGCTGCTGCTGTTCGCGCCGTAGTGAGGCTGAGCATGTTACATCCAATTATGAAGTAAAGCATAATGCTACTAATAGCAGCTATATAATTTAGCTCAGTCCTCAAAGACTCGGTTTTAACCTGTGAAATTGAAAAATTATTTTATTCACAATTTGCTTTTTGTTCATTTTTTCCCCCAAGGTGCTTTTTTATTTCTTAAATTTATAACTATTAATTGGGCAAAGAAGTACGGCCTGGGTAAATGAAATTCTTAAACCTCCTAACATTCTCCCATCGAAGCAAGTACTTCCTAACAGCTTTGTGTGTGTTCAAGAGCCCTCACATGACAGACTTGCCCGACTCAGAAATGACCCAGTGCTGGGTTATAGTACTGCCTTTGAAAGTTGCCAGCTTCTGCCCACTGAGCAAGGAGCTCACAGTCTCTCCTCACCTGGACCCTGGCCTCTTCCAGCAATGAAGCCTCTGCTTCGGCCTCCAGAGGTCAGCACAGAATCCAAGTTAAAAGTGATTTCTAACCCATATTTACAGAAGAATTATTTATCCTGCCCATTACCTCAGGGACTTTATAAAGAGCTCATTTGAGTCTCTGTATATTAGAGCATTGTGAGTGAGGAGGTCAGCTGACTCAGGCTGAGTAATCAACTTGCCCTTATCCCCAATCCCTAAGGAAAGAATTTAGCTAGCTTGGCCCCCTCTTCCCTCGTAAAATATTTCAGTGAGCTCCCTCTTTCACTAGGGCAACTAGCAACAAAGGTATTTACAGTTGGTAGGAACTGATTAGTGGGTGTGGACTGGGAAGTTTGTGAAGCCATTTTCTAAGTATTTATTATTATCACTATTATTAATAGATCAGAGAGTGACGTTGAGGGACCTGTGTATAGGATTAACACTGTCACTGCTTTGGAGGCAACAGAAATCCATGAGGATCTTTCTAAATAGACAACTAATCATCTGTCAACAGAACCAACTCCATCTAAGAAAACAGAATGAAGTCACTTCAGTGATTGCACTACCAGCAGTTCTTAGGAAAGTGGATTAGAAAGGAAAGACTGAATTGGCTTTATGTTCCACAGTGGAAAAGGAAGAGCAGGCTCAGGGCTCCACCCTTAGCCGTGACGGTATGTCATGGTTTGTGAATATGATTTAGAGGAAACATGTGCTTTGAAAAGATTCAAATTAATATGCCCCAGACTGCCCAATCCAGGGAAGAGTAATGTTGGAGCCACTCAGTTCGCTTTAATGTGCTATGGCAGTGGAATGGGGAACGTTTGTCCATTCAAAACAATAAAGTAATTGATTCCATTTATAATTAAGAGAAATATTTATTTACGACCCTTATAAATTAAAAAATGAAATAACGGCCCCAAAACGCCAACTCTAGAAGTACTCATTTTGGGGCTGGCAGGTGGCGTGGTGGTTAAGGGTGCTGGACTTTCACATGGCTGACTGAGGTTTGAGTCCCGAACCTGGTGGCTTGCTTCCTCACTTTCTCTCTCTCTCTCTCTCACACACACTTTCTCTCTCTGGTCAAATTAAAATAAAGTTAAATAAAATAATTCTTTTAAAAGTACTAATTTTGTCTTTATAAATAGCAGTTACTGTTTGTTAGAATAAATATGACTGTCAGAATTATTCTAATCAAAGGAGGAAGACATGTACTTTGGACTTGAGGACTCTGACTGGATTTTAAAATCTTAATACAGAAAGATCTCAGACCCTTACCTGAACAGTAGTGAATGTTGGTCTGATTGCTGGAATATGCTCTCCTCCTCAGAGAGAAGTATTTGAATTACTAATCACTAATGTTGAATCCCCTTAGAAGCACTGGGAGAGCCTTTGAAATGTCTAGGGCCCTACAAGTCTTCCCCTGTGCCCAGGCGCTGCCCAGGTCTCCAAACAGCAATCTGAAATGCTTGCCCACCTCAACAGTGTGGCTTTGGTGGAGGGCAGAGAGGACCAAGAGAAGAAACTTTTATGCCAAAAGGCTGAAGGATGCCCATCAGTCAAGTGCCTCACAGTTCATGGAGGTCACAAATACAGTTTGGGTATTTATGGGAAGATGTATTCTACTTCCACCAAGAAAAAAACAAGATTCCCTTCTTCATGTATAGTATTGTCATATCAATGAGATCTACTTTGAGTTGCTTATTTGTGATTTAATTTTTCCAGAACTACAGGTAAAAAGTCATCATTATATTCAACATTAATATCTTCTGGTAAAAAATTCATCTGGGTTCTCTCCCCCCCCCATTATTGCTTTCAGCTGAAAAAGGAAAACCTGGACATGTATGAAGAAAACCTTCATTACCCACTTCTGCTTATCTTAACCAAAAATGGATAGAAAATTAAGCTACTCAGAAGATGAAGAAAACATCAAGGGCACAAGGAATATTTTCACAAAGACAGAAATCTGTAATGAGTGTAATATTTAGAAAGTCACTATCTCCCTGAGAGTTTTAAACACCCAGGATTTGGGGCCATGCTCTTTGCAACATTCCGTGTGTGGGTTCTGGACTCCATTTGCCTTCACTCACATTATTCTCTAGCTATCCTCGCCCAGCTCCCTCACCTCTTCTTTTTACAGTCTGCTTATTGCTCTTCCAAACCTTTGTTTGTTTTTAAATATGTGTAAGCGACCTGTCTCAGATTGGAATTTGACTCTGGAGCAACTTAAATATTTTTCCCTCTGAGATAGAATTTCTTTAGGCGATTCCCACCCCTTTAAAAAAAATAAACTTGGCCTTTGTTCTATTTTGGTTGTGTAGTTTTGTTGTTGTTGATTTTACTCTGTAAACACAGCAAACATGATTCTTTCCTGGTTAAAATATAAAGCACAGTTTTCTGATCTCCCTCCAATTAATTATATTAAGTCTGCCATCTCTGTCTCTGTCTCTCTCTCATTCTTTTTTCCCTATTAAACAGGATGTTTTTTTCCCCTATAGATGTATAAGAAATGACTACATCAGCCCAAAGCCTCATAAACTGACCGTTTGTCCTCTGGACACAATAGCGTGGCCAGCCCTCTGCTCCTCCTCTCCAATTATGTGTGATTAGTCTCAGTGCGCTGTGTCAAGGAGGGGGAGTGTGCTGAGTGCTTATTATCTGTTTAGGTACAAGAAGAGCACATTTAGGCTCTGACTATGAATGAAAAGTGAGCCTTTATCAGGGCTTAAATCTAACTGCTGCTGTTCGCCAGGCCTTTTTCAAAATGGGTCCTTTCCAGGGAAATTTTGAATAAGTGGCTGATAAACTAGATTGCAACCAGGGGGAGTTTTTAAAAACTCAATCACACAATTACCTTACTTAAAATAAGTATATATTGTTATATACTGTGATTCAAGTGTACAGTAAACATTTAATAGGTGCTACCAAGGATTAAAAGAGAACGACTTTTCTACAGGGAGCCCAAGCATATCCTTGCCTAGTGTAGCCACGAGATGCTCTAATGCCTTTTGTGGAAATTCAGATGTTTATCTGTAAGGAATCATCTGTGCCCACTTTAGCAGTAATGTCATTAGCAGGTTAGCTATGTATCCTCATATCTTTAGTCAAGGCAAAGCGTGTATTCAGTGTGATACAATTAACGTGATGGAGGAGTATGGAGGGGGCGCATCCTTTTGCATGTTAAACAAACTTAGCTGACATAAAAACAGCCACTCTCAAATGTCTTCTCTGCTCACTTCTATCATCAAACAAATTTTTCACCATCAGTTTGCATGTCCTTGTGTTCGCCACTTTTTCTGCTCCATTAGAGCACCTAGATGGATCTCAGAAGGCATAGGTCAAGTCGCAGTTAGATCATACATTTCTTTCTCACAAAAACTTGAATTGCAATGCCAAGTGATGGGCTAACATCACAATAACAGCAATTTATTCCTCTTTGGATAAAACAGCAGTCTATTCTCAGTGCTAGATAAAGACCAGGGCAATGCAAACCAGCCATTTAGCTGAGTAGTTCAGCTCGTGGCAGCTCTCCTTTGGCGACTGTATAGGTTGCACACTGGCTTCATATTTTCTTGTTTAAAAATTAGAATTTGGAATGTTTTTAAAAGGCAACACAAGTAGTTCCATTTATACCGGTGAAAATACAGCAAAAATTATTTCCTCTGTAAAACCTGCAACTAAATCTGCCAGACAAAGAAAATGTATCCCTGAAGTACTACCTAAGATGGTCTATTTTTTTTTCTCTTTAAATATAGAACAGCAGGACCATGAGAATATTTCCTTTTTTCCTCTCATGAAAATACGTGAATTGGCAGCAATTCAATTTGCATTTGTGTGTTGTGGATGTAGAAATCCAGTGTTTATTTCTCTGGGGGAAAAATTTTTTTTAATAAAGTAGTATTTAAAAAATATATCTGAGAACGGTGTTTCAGCATTGAGCTATTCCTAGCAAGAGATGCCTGGCAAAGAAATAGACTTACTGTGTGATTAAAACCTGGAGAATCTTCTGTAAAATGAGATGGGTTTCATATATCTGTTTGTTCAGGATCCTTACCTGGAAATCTCTCCTCCAGGCTCTTTGAAAGCTTGTGAAAAACTAATGTTGTGTATTAGTGAATCATTTAAAAGTGTTTTTGTTTTCTCAAATTTTAATGAAATGCTGATATTGAGGAAGGAAAATATGGCTGCTTTAAAAAGTTTATCCATTTACATTCCTTTTGAACTTTATGATTACTTCTATGCATCAGTATTGGGTTGTATAATTGCAGTTGAAATAGCTCATTCCATAATTGTCTATGTAATTATGCATGTGTTTGCTTCAAAAGGAAGCATAAGAATTATGATATTTCCGTTTGTGCACCTGTATCTTCTGATAGAACTCATGATTTTCCTTTGTCATATTAAGTAGATCTGGTTGGATGTAAAAACGTTTCTAATATCGCCTATGGTCAGTTCTAATGCCATGATATGAACAGCCACATACAACTTGGTTATAAGAAATATATTTTATTTTATAGCAAGACATATGCTGTGAATTGGGAGAAAAGTGCTAGAAAAGACTACCTAAGAGGTTGATGCTATTTTGTATAAATTGTGTTTTGTTGGCTTTTTGACTGAGCATGAAAATGTAACTTCCATTAGGGAAGGGTAATTTAGGTGCTCTGTATTCAGTAGAAAACTTGTCGGGGCCATAAAAGCTTTTCTGGCTGGTTCCTCGGGTGTTTTCAGAGAAGAGCTGCCCACCCCTTGCTGCTTTTCCCTTTGGCTTCAGTATGGGCTGAATTTACCACTGCATACCTGTTGAATCAATTTGGGGGATCCAGCAGTTAACCGAGTGAATGGAAGGATTAGTGGCCCTCTGGAGCCCTGTTTCAACAGCCAGGTGTCTGTCCTAAACTAGTTAACTGCTTTTGACAGTTGAAGAACCTGGTTTTAATACCATAGGCAGGAGGTGGTGGTTTTTTCTTTCTCCCTATGACCCAAGTGGGGCATCCTTTCTCCTAAGGGCTAGGTATTTCTGTTTCAGTTTTTAATAGGGATGGACTACTCCCCTCCCTCAACCCAGCTTCCAAGGATGTTGTCTTTGTGCTTAGTCAGCATTTCACTTGTTCCCACTCTTGCCAGACAATTTGGTAGCATTGTCTGGTAAGACCCTTTCATTGGACTCTGGGGAGTGGGGCAGAATGCCCACATGAGGGAGTAAATTAAAGTGTATGTAGACACACAAACACAGACGCACTCACAGGGATGGTGAAGCTGTTCAGACCTGAGATCTGGGCTCTAGTTCCCAGATTCCAGGTACAGTCCCATCCAGATAAAAAATCTCCTGAGTTCAAACTGTATAAAAGAAGCTCCATAATTATTCCGAGTGTATCCCATAAAGAAAAGATAAATTTGAAAGTCAGACTGATTCTAGACAGGGCAAATACTTTTCCTGAGTGGACTGTTTCCAAATTAGGAGGGAGCTCGTTGGTGTTTAACAAACCATTAAGCCTGAAATGCCACTTTTAATTCTCAGATTTCATTTTACCCAGAGAGCTGATTGCCCAGGCTGTGGCTACATGCTCACTGTGTTCTCTGTCCTGGAAGCCTGTGCATTGGAGTCTGTATTTTTTGTCTTTTTTTTTTTTTTTCTGTCCTTCTGACTTTTCAATTAATACATTTTTTAATAGATAAAACAGATCATACTGTGACTTTTTAAATGTCAACAAGCTTGTAAACAGAAATGTAATAAAATGTCTAATAGGAGATTCAATAGTTAATAGATGGCCTGAAGTGTGAGCAAATACAGTAGCTGTATATTGGAAATTGTGCAAGTGAAGATGGCTTTAGTATTGCAAACTGAGGAAAGAAAATTGTTTTTAATTAGCACCTTCATAAGAACTGCTGATTAATACTGTTTTGTTTGGTGAAAAGCTTTCAGCTGAGTAATTTGTACAGCCATTACAACAGTTTTGTTAGAGCGGGACTCCTGTTGTTAAACACAAACAGCAGATGATAATGGTGGAAGATGAGTTTGTCATGTAACAATTTACCTTATTGAAAAAAGCTTTATATAAAACCCAATACAGTAGGTACCAGCAGAAATCACATATTTTAAATCCTTCCAAAATTGCAGTGTGCCGTGTGTGTGTGTGTGTGTGTGTGTGTGTGTGTGTGTTTTCAGGGACTAGAAGCAGATTTTATATCATTTATAAAATTATATACACAATTTAAAGGTGGTGTAGCATGGACAGACCACTTTCTCAGCAGCGGTTTCATGGGAGCAGTAAAGTGGCTGTGTATTCACACACTTTCAAACTGCACAAAGCAGGTTGAAAAATGGAAGCTTAATTAAATAATGTTACTGGGATGTAAATTTGCATTGGGCCTGCATGTAGGGAATTAAGAATTGGTGTTTCTGCCTTAGGTAGGTTTATCACACCTAGGATCTTAAAAAAAAAAAAAAAATCTCTCTCAACGGAAGTTTAATTAACCTTTTTTTATTTTCTTCCAATATTTTAACCGACCACAGGAAACAGTGTCCATTCAGTGAGACCTAATCAGGGAATAAGAGGCTTATTTCAGTGAACTCCCAACAAACATATTTTGCTAGCTAAAAGCATGGGAACTTTTAAAAAACAAAATGCAATGATAAAGCATATTTGCATTAAAATATTACACTAACCAAGGCTGGTAAGAACTGTAAATTATTGCAGTGGCGTAATAGAGCATGAGATTCTTTTTTTTCAGACAGGCCTTCGGGGTAATAACAAGGGTTGAGGCTCACGACAGTGCCAAATAAGCTTTAGACAGCATAATAGTCTGCAAAGAAAGCCACAGAGCACTAATGTGAAGGAAGAGCTGTCCACCACATGCAGCAAAAATCACCAAAGGTCATTTTATGGTAGCAATTGTGACATAAAATTGGTGGTCATGCTACATGTCTAATACTCAGCACAGCTTTATAAATGATGGGCCCCTAGCGATGGCTGTCATTAAGTGCTTTCATCATAATAAACTTTAAACTGTTGGCTTTATGAATCGCCAGCTAGCTTCAGCTGTTCGTTGGATGGAGCTTGCAGTGCCTTAAGTGTGACAAGACCTATTAGGAATGGGAAATAAGAATTGGTGTTTCTGCCTTAGGTAGGTTTATCACACCTAGGATCTTAAAAAAAAAAAAAAAATCTCTCTCAACGGAAGTTTAATTAACCTTTTTTTATTTTCTTCCAATATTTTAACCGACCACAGGAAACAGTGTCCATTCAGTGAGACCTAATCAGGGAATAAGAGGCTTATTTCAGTGAACTCCC